CATGTGAATTCAAAAAGCACTCTCACTAGGATTCGAACCCACCATCTCGCAATTCGGAACACGATTCTTCCGCACTGAGCCACTTACATCTCTGAAAGAACAACTTTTTTTTTTATATTTAACCCTTAGGTTGGAATTTTGAATTTGAATTTAAAAAGCGTTACTACTGGGGTTTGAACCCACCATCTGGCAGTTTGGAGCTCGATTCTTCCGCACTGAGCCACTTACTTCTCTGAAAGAACACTGTTTTTTTTATATTTAACCCTTAGGTTGGAATTTTGAATTTGAATTTAAAAAGTGTTCCTACTGGGATTCGAACCCACCATCTGGCAGTTTGAAGCACGATTCTTCCGCACTGAACCACTTACTTCTCTGAAAAAAACCTGGTTTTTTTATATTTAACCCTTAGGTTGGAATTTTGAATTTGAATTTAAAAAGTGTTCCTACTGGGATTCGAACCCACCATCTGGCAGTTTGAAGCACGATTCTTCCGCACTGAGCCACTTACTTCTCTGAGAGAACGCTGTTTTTTATATTTAACCCTTAGGTTGGAATTTTGAATTTGAATTTAAAAAGTGTTCCTACTGGGATTTGAACCCACCATCTGGCAGTTTGAAGCACGATTCTTCCGCACTGAGCCACTTACTTCTCTGAAAGAACACTGTTTTTTTTATATTTAACCCTTAGGTTGGAATTTTGAATTTGAATTCAAAAAATGTTCCTACTGGGGTTCGAACCCACCATCTGGCAGTTTGAAGCACGATTCGTCCGCACTGAGCCACTTACTTCTCTGAAACAACACTGGTTTTTTTAATATTTAACCCTTAGGTTGGAATTTTGAATTTGAATTTAAAAAGTGTTCCTGCTGGGATTCGACCCCATTATCTCACACTTCCAAGTAAGGTGTTTGCACAATGCGCTACATACATTTATCAAAAGAACACTGATTTTTTACGCTTGAATTCCTAAACGGGACGCCAATTTCTTGAGTTTAATCTTGGAGTGGTAAAAGAGGTTGAGATGAAAAGATGGATTTGCATTTAGATGAACAAACTTCTTCCATTGCTTATTGAGAGAAAATGGTTAAAAATCAAGGGTTCAAAAGAATGGCAAGAAACGCACGTACTACACTTTTCGCTTTACAGTTTATTACACTTAATTAGTTTCGGAACACACACCTGGTATATTTCTGTTTCACCAAGTGCAAACTCAAATATACGGTACACTGCTTGTAGAATCCTGCTCACAAGAATCCTCCGATTTTAATTACACTTAGCCGAAACGTTAAAAGGCATTCTGATCAGCTAAGGGAAATGTGGATTAATCTTGAGTCTTCATACAAAATGTTCAAAAGCAACGCTGAGTCCACCGCTGCTACGTTGGGTAATTACAACACAATACAAGAATAAAACAAATTATGTGTAAACCATTCCTCTGTTTTGGGTACATAATTATTAGAGTTGTACGTTTATAAAACACAGCTAACATCTAACATATACTTGGAGACTGTAAACTGGCAAAAATATTGAGAGCAAGAAACATTACTCTCAATACAGCACAAA